TGTAGGGATAAGTCCCACCCCTTAGGGGGCGTGTTCGCCTCAGGCTAAAGTTCTCCTATAAAATTGGTGAGCGTGCTCCCAGCGCTCTCTTCTGATTTCCTGGTCTCCGCGGGAACAGTGGTTCTGTAAGTCTATTCCTCCATTAAAGCTGTCTATATTTTGACAATCTGTCTGCATTCGCTTACGCCGTTACACATTCCTTAATCTAAAAAGAAAGAACACAAGTCACAATCCTTGCATTAAACTACAGAAATGGAAGAAAGGGTGTCGAGTGACATTTAGAATTACTGGGATAAAGAAAATACTTGTTTTTTGTTGTTTTTGTTTTGTTCGCTTTTATTGAGCCATATATTTTTCTCCACTTTCTTTCCATCCTCTCCCCCCCCCTTTCTACCCTCTCTCATGGTCCCCATGCTCCCAATTTAGTCAGAAGATCTTATCTTTATCTACCTCCTATGTAGATTATATCCGTGTATGTCTCTCATGGGGTCCTCATTGTTGTCTAGATCCTCTGGAATTGTTAATTGTAGGCAGATTTTTCTTTGTTTTATGTCTAAAAGCTACTTATAAGTGAGTACATATGATATTTGTCTTTCTGGGTCTGAGTTAACTCACTCAATATGATATTTTTTCTATATCCATCCATTTGCCCACAAATTTCAAGATGTCATTATTTTTTCAGCTGTGTAGTGCTCCATTGTGAAAATGTACCATATTTCCTTATCCACTCTTCAGTCAAGAGACATTTAGGTTGCTTCCAGGTTCTCTCTATGACAAATAATGCTGCTGTGAACATAGTTGAGCGCATGTCTTTGTGTTATGGCTGAGCAACCTTTGGGTATATACCCAAAAGTAGTATTGCTGGGTCTTGAGGAAGATTGTTTCCTAATCTTCTGAGGAATCACCATACTGATATCCAAGGGGGCTGTACCAGCTTACACTCCCACCAACAACTCAGGAGTGTTCCTTTTAACCCACATCCTCTCCAGCATAAGCTGACATCACTTTTGATCTTGGCCATTCTTACAGGTGTAAGATGGAATCTCAGAATTGTTTTGATTTGCATTACTCTGACAACTAAGGATGTTGAGCATTTCTTCAAGTGTCTTTCAGCCATTTTAGATTTCTTTGTTAAGAGTTCTCTGTCTAGGTCTGTACATCATTTTTTTTACTGGATTATTTCTTCTTTTGATGACCAATTTCTTTGTATATTTTAAAGATTTGTCCTCTGTCTGATGTGCGTTTGGTGAAGATCTTTTCCCATTCTGTAGACTGTCATTTTATCTTGGTGAACACATCCTTTGCTTTACAGAAACTTTTCAGTTTCAGAAGGTCCTATTTATTAATTGTTTCTCTCCTTGTCTGTGCTACTGTGGTTGTATTTAGGAAGTGGTCTCCTGTGCCAATGCATTCAATGGTCCATCCCACTTTCTCTTCTATGAGGTTCAGTGTGGTGAGTTTTATGTTGAGGTCTTTGATCCATTTGGACTTGAGTTTTGTGCTGGCAATAGATATGTATCTATTTTCATTCTTCTGCATGTTGATATCCAGTTATGCCAGCACCATTTGTTGATTATGCTGAGAAGTAATACTTGTTATGCTTCAGATTTGGTAGGGTGAAAGATTGGAGAAGGTTAGATCACATTGGAAGAAAATGGAATGGTAGTAAATGGGTAGATTCCCTAGCCAATAATTACACTGTTCTCCTTTGGCAAATCCTAGTTTCCCCTTACCCTTCCTTCAGAGAAACCATTGTTGGCCACCTATACTGTGTGGAATGTTTAGATGCCATCAGCTGAGAACATAGAAAAAATTATTCATATGGTCCTATGTTCCTATATGAGTTATAAATCGAAGAAGTAGAATATAGCTTACTAAAAGAAAAACAAATAATAACGAAGTCTATACAGTTTCTTAGGGGTTCACTTTGGGAACAATAACATCAGTCCTGTTAAAAATACCTGTAACACACTTTACTGAGACTCATAAAATAAAGAGAGTTTGTTTCGTATTTCTCCATAAACCAGGACCCTCCTGTGTTAGAACATTGTACCCTCAAAATTGAGCTATTAGTTCTAAAACACATGTTACTGGTGCTACAGAAAGATGGCTGTTTGTCAACCACCAGAGTACTCTTCAGGGTAAAGTGACACATAGTTTTCACTTAATGTTTTTGTCAAAACTGCTAGGATGCAGAGAGACCCCCTGACAGATGAAAGCCTCCTAGACATGCACTACCTTGAAACTTTCTGTTTATTGGAGAATAAATATTGTAAAGATTAAAAATTTTCTATTCAGATTTGCCAGGGATGGGTTGGAAAGGGTGAAATACTTCCTGAAAAGTGAAGGAGGCTTTCCCAGTTGCCCTTCAATAAACACATTTAAACGGTATCACCAATGCAGCTTTAAGTAACTAATAAAGCAAACTTGTCCTTCATGCTGATAGGTAGCCATGCGATGATGAATAATTATATCAAAATCATTGCCTCATCTAAGTTCCTGCAGACTTCTCTCATCCTACAGGCTGTTTGAAGTATCAAAATGATGCTCCTCCCAACTCCCTTGAATCTGATGGGAAGCAGGTTTGATTCTCAGAAATGCTGCTGTTCTTAATGAACTGTAATCAAATCAGGCAAATTTTCACCAGCATTCTGCTGTATTATCTTCCATCTAGATACTATCATCATTTTGTAAAAAGGGAACAAATACTACTTTATAATACACAAATACAGCATCTTTTGCAAGTGTGGGCAGGAAGCTATCTCTTGGTAAAACAATTAACCCTGTGAAAGCCAGAAGTTTTTTTAGTAGTATAATAAAAATTATTATTATTTTTATTACATACACACAATCATGACATCTCTAAATTTTAGGCACTATAATGCTCAATTAAGTGATCTAAGCATGTTTCTAAATGTAAACAATCAAAAACTCAGTATCTCTATTCAAATACATCCAAATCTTAAAGATTTGAAGTGATTATGGGCCCTATGTAGTTTTAAGACTATGTATATTAGATGCATACAATTAAGATGGGGTTTGAAAGCATCCATTTATCTAATTCATCTTCTTCTAAACTAAATGGTTCAAAGCGGTTCCAGGCGAAATGCTCTGAACCTGTACTGCACATTAAAATTCCCTAGGGAGATTTGTAAAACTCATGATACCCAGACAATCCTCTAGCACAAATAAAGCAGAATGTCCCTGAGCAGGACCCAGGCAGCAGTATTTTTTATAACACCTCCCTAGAGTTTCCAAAGCCCCACTACAATTGAGAAATACTTATTTAACAGATGATCACGTGGAACTAACAGGTTTGTTATTTAAAAAAAAATTTTTTTAAAAGTTGAGAAAAGACTTTGCCATGTAACCTTGGCTGTCCTCAGACTCTCAATCCCCTCCCCCACTCCCATTCTCAAACTCCAGTGTGGTGGAATTATAGGCATGAACTGTCACACCCAGCTAAGAACATGAAATTTTGAGGAAAATAGGTGTTTAGATTACAGACTGTCACAAAACTAATGTTCAGTAATTTCCAATTATTTTCTATATCTTCTCAATGACTGCTTGTTAAATTTTTTCTAGTTCCCTTCTTCATTTTGAACATTCAGATTTATTTCTGTAAATGACAGTAAACTTTTAATTAGCAGAGTCTCAAATTAGAAAAGACTGGCCTTTCTGGGAGGTGTATTTGTGCCTCCGAGTGGCAAGGGGATCTAAGAAAGCCTTTGTCGATACATTGTCTCTATGCCCATTGGAGCTGTACACGAGCCCTTACAACCTACCTTTGCGTTAACGAGGGTGAAGTGCAGAGCTGTGCATTCCATTGCTAGCATTACAAATTTAACAATGGGATTTACGAGGTGTGCACTTGCCAGAATGTCTCTAATGTTCAGGTTCACTCATCCTGAATCTTAAATTGGCTCTCTAGGTGCTCTTTTAATTTGTGCAGAACCAATCACACACAGCTCACAAATGGTAGGTCCAAAGAAAAGCACACAGTAATGTGCGGCAGATATGGTTTCTGCCGGGGAAGGCCATTGTTAGCCAGGAGTGAAAATACAGGAATCCTGCTAAAGAGATGAAACATTTGTTATGGTTCCCGAATTGTGAAGGGAAGAAGCAGGCAAAAAAGGTAAAATGCAAACTCTTCTGGGAGCTGCAACAAGAGAAACACACCTACACATAATGATAGTCAGTAGTAATCCGTTTTACGTTCTAACAAGCAGAGGCAATAAGGGTCACAGTAGATTGCACAAAATGTATTGAATCATCACTTAGGCTTGAGGGAGCTCTGACCCAGGACAATGCATGCTCTTTTTTTCTCTTCTACTGAGACACCAAACTATTCCATAAAAGCAAGGGTTTTGACACAAGAAAGAGTATCCACTCACCCCCTTCTTTACTAAAATTCCAACTACAACCCTGATTTATACATAAAAACCAAAATTCAGTGGCAAAAAATATACAGTTACAGTTGCTTTTTTTATATTCTTTCCTGCCCCAGAGTTACTGCCTCTGTTTGAATCTTTGGAAGCCTTTCTAGCAGCTAGCAACTATTGGAACACAGGCCTATAACCACCAGCGTATCCACCTGGAGCAGCTCCTGCTGCCCTCCTACTAAGATAGGGTCGAAAACTTTATTTTCTGGATAGTCAGGCAATCTCCAGAGCCTTAGGCACCTAACGAAGGTCACAGAGCAGTCTGGTATCGAGATCCTTTCAAAGCTCTAAGCTCAGCAGATAGACAGCGTTTGGTAAGGGGGCATGTCAGTATCTTAATGACTGATCTGGTTGAGAGAATTAGTATCAGACTTGCCAATGAATTTGTAGAACTAAAGTTACATCTCAGTGTCAAAATGTTGTATAATGTACAAGGCTCTGGGTGTGAATCTTGGCACTGTGTGACTGGTGATGGGGGCAGAGTATGCTAGGACAAACAATCTCAGTATTAGCCTGATGATCAGAGAATGAAGCTCTCTTGGATTTTTTGCTGATGGGTTTTGTCTTGGTCATTGTGGTGCTTTGAATAAGAATGATCCCCATAGAGTCATATTTGAATGCTTATGGGGTAGCCTTAGAAGGTGTGGCCTTGTTGGAAGAAGAGTGTCACTGGCAGTAGACTTGGAGGTTTCAAATGTCCAAACCAGGCCCAGTGGCTCCTGCCCTTCCTGCTCCCTGCTGATTTAGATATAGAACTCTCAGT